ACCAGCCCCTAGAAGAGTGTCTTGCATTCAATTAAGTCTTGGTAGTCGGGCACATGGTTGAAGGCTGAATTAAGACAAGTGAACCTATCTCACTGGCCTGGGTAAACCGAGCTCATTGTGTGCTAGAAGAAAGGACATCTGGGCAACAGAGGGAACTGATGGCAGTACTCAGCTAAAAGAACAGTCATCTTGATGCCTGTATCCTGGATCTACATAGCAGGGCCTGGTGAAGCAGCAGTAAGGAACATGGCCCAAAGGCCAGAGCAATTGCAACCCTGTTACTGAATTCAGTGGAGGCAGAAAAGGTGAGACCATGTGTCAGACCATGCCTTGCTCCTCTCAGCACTGTCTAGGTTTGGAAAGCCTGATGCTTCTCCCTGGAGGCACCCACATTCTTCTCTATCACCCCAGAGACGCCACCTCAGTCAGCCCACTGTCTTTTCTTCCTGGTGGGTTTAAATCTTTTGAGTCCCTGAGGGTCTTTCCCTGCCCTGTGAATTACTTAAGACGTGTTCTCTACTACCGAGACCCGTGTGACATTTCACTCCCAGTGGTCACCATGTCCTGCTGTGTGGGCCCACTGAACTTACTCTTCTCATCTCCCTGGAGTCTGTTTAGAGGCTGCAGTGGGCCATGCCACACCTGTCATCCTTGCAGCACAGGGCAGCTGCTGGTCCACAGAAGCCTGCTGTGCCCTAAACATGGGGCTGCCAGCTCCTGCCCCTTCCTTCCTTGCCCATGTATGTGGGGCTCTGACCTCATTCTTAGGGGATCAGCAAGACAACAAATTCATTACTCGTTTTATATGTTTATCTGGAAGGGAGCCAGCAGTGTGCTGGCCCCAAGCATCTGCGGGCTTGGCGTCCACCACTACTTTGCTAGGTTTAGTAGAATCTTTGGATTAGAACCTCTTGGGAGTGAGGTAATCACTTCTTGGGAAGCTCAGCTCATCCTGAAGAAGGGCTTTCAAGGGGTCATGGGGGACATCACAGCCACAGCCTCCTACCACTGGGTCTGTCTGAAGCTCCCAACTTCAAAAGTAGAACAGGTGGGAATGTGTCCTGCAGATAAGATCTGGGACAGCTGCATTTTACAAGTGGGAAACCTCAGCTCAGGGTGTGAATTTTACACTTAATGGTTTATTGGGAAAATGGGTCAACAGATGTCAACACCCATGACAACAAATACAAGTGAACTTTCAGGTGCATAAAATTGTCCTCGTAAGAGTTGGTGCTCAAGCCTGTCCACAAGGGGCCTCTAAGAGACCCAATAAAACCTCAAAGACAAGGCTTTGAAACTCAGGCCAGGGCCTCTGAAAAGCAGCTTTGGCCATGGCATCAGCTGACATAACCATTTGACATTCATATACTGGAGCAACAGAAATTCTTGGCAAATGGACAGACTCTCCCATTGATGCATTTTAAATCCAGAGGCTTCTCTGGATGGGATTTCCTCTAGCATCTTGGGAGGTACAGAGTGACTGGCTAGGCCTGAAGAATGTCCTGTCTCAGCTTTTGGAGAGGTTGGTCCTGTTTCCAGTGGAGTCCTTTTCCTAGTTAGCTCTGTGGCTTGACTGTGGCATCTTGGGCAGCTGCTGAGGGCACAGTGATGGACAGGTGCAACCTCTCTCACCATGGTCTCCCCAGGAGCCACTGTAGCTAGACTACCTGGTGATGTGGAGAAACCAGGTGAGGACAACATGGCTGGTCAACTTGGGGACACCTGGTGAAGTGGCAATCCTTGGTGAATAGGGGACATGGGCAGGGATGCCTAGTGAAGCAGAGGCAGAGAAGAGCTTGAGGGAGATGGAGATAGGTAGGCAGGGACATCTCTAAGGATTCAGGATGGAGATGTGTAGAGGATTAGACCCTGCCCTAACCACCAGTGCCACAGAAGTCGCCTCAGGCCTCCAACCTTCCCCCAACTTGTTCCCATCACCTGCTGGTAAAGACACGCTGTGAAACACAAGCCAAAATACCTTTTAAATTCCTAAGAGTCTTGCCCCCCAAAATGTGATCTAGGCATCGATGCAATTTTTCTTGCTTTGTAGACCCACAGCCAAGGCAGCATGGTTTATAAGAGGAAGCTGAACAGGCTTAGTATATGATGGTGGGGGTTTCATCTTAATTTGCTGTTTCCCTGGTGCATGATTTTAGGAAAATTACTTACACACTCCAGGTCTCTGTCAACAAAATGCTTGTAATAAAGAGTTTTTACAGGAATGAAATGAGTTGCTGTGGACTGGGGAACTTTGCAGTCAGGGGAGAGGTAGCAGGTTTTACCTGTTGTCTGGGGGTTGTGGCACCAGACTGTGGTTCCCATCCTCACTCTACAGCTGCCACTTAATGTGGTGCTGGGGGAGTTACCTTCTTGGAACCTCAGTTCTGTCACCTGCCTGCTGGGGTTCTTGGGACTACATGAGATATTGTGGGTCCAGTGCCCAGGGCAGGACCTACAGAGCATAGTGCCTCATCTGTGGCTGCACCAACTAGAAAAATTAAGGTCTAGAAAGGCATATGGGCCACAGACATGCCTAGAAGACTATCGTGTTGTGCAGCAGTCACTAACACAGCTACTGAAGATCACATTCAACCACTTCCTCTGATAGCAAGGCCAAGCCAGTCATAGGATGGGGCCACACTGGGTCTACTTGTCATATGAGCTTCAAGGCCACACATGCCTTATTAGTTGTCCTCTGAATGGTTTGGCCCTGACCCTAACACACATAGGGCCCTCTGCACCATATGCTCTTGTGCTGGTCCTTGGGAAAGTCTTGGCAGAGCTTGAGAAACCACAGAGAGGCCTGAATCCCTTTAACCTGAAGCTTTTCCATGTGGAAAGACAGGGGCTGAGAGAAGATGGGAAGGTGGTCTAGCAGGAGACAGAGCACCTGGGCACTAAGGGGCTGGCATATTGGTAGCAGTGGAGACAGTGGGGAGGACATAGGGAGTAGATTCTACTTCTTAACTAAATCCAAAGATATGGAACTTTGAGCACCTCTTGAACTTAAAATGGGCTAATTTAGGACAAGTAAAAAGATCATTTCACACAATGGCTCATGATGAATAAACCCTGAGGTACTGGGCAGAAAAAATGGAAGGGCATGAACAAGTTGTGGGATGGGCTATCCAGGACACTGAGAGTGACCACAGCCATCCCATGTCCAGCACACCAACCTGGGCCAGGCATTGGGCTCTGTGCCCGTGCATTCCCCAGAAGTCCTCAGAAGTGGGCCTTAACTGTCATCTCTTAGAGATGAGGTTCAGAGACATGCACCCATATGGATCACACAGCTGGTTTGATCCCAATCCATGCACTCTATCACCAGGTTATTCTGACTCTTACAGGGATGTTTGGGCTTCTTTCATATATTCTTCTTCAGGTTAGGGTCTTAGAATATGTTTTTGGAGCATCCGCTAAGGACAAATTCTAGATGGATCTTGGATTTGATCCAGGAAGGCAGTGCTACAAATTTTCAGAATATTAAGCATTTTAGTTCAAGGGGGAGAGGGGCAGGTGAAGGAGATCAAACCCAAGTCCTTATTCCAGGACAGTGGTTCCTAACTTGTGCTGGACACTGGCATTACCAGGCTGTGGCCCTGCTCAACGACATCAGAATTTCTGGGGCTGGGACCCAGGCAGCAGGTATTTTGTAAGTGCTGTGGAAGGAACTACTGTCCTAGAGAGATGGCCCCTGTGTCCCCTAATATTATTATTAGGATGATAATATTAATGGTATTCAAAGTAAAAGTGTAAGCAGCCAGGGCTATTGTGACCCTTATCTTAGGAGACACTCCCACTTTTCCACCAGCTAAGTCTTTGGTCACTCTGTGGTTATTTAAAACAAGTGAAAAGTAGAAATGAAACCCAAGAATTGATATTCATCAGAAAAAAAAAGTCATAAGCAGAAAAGCTAAAAGATAATTTTTGTTAAATAATGAACACTCGTAAAACAGCAGTGAAATGGTATTAAAATGTCTGATTACTTATTTCTCAGCATTCATCGGATAACTTAAGCAGCATGAAGCAGTAGTTGCACTTAAAAAAATGACAAGAAAATAGCTATTCATTTAGTCGACAGGGAAGGTTCATTTCCTTTTAAAGATCACTGGTGTCACTGCTCATCATCAGGGTGAGTGTCAACACAGGCATCTTTATGCTGAGATGGTATCCACAGCTCCTTTGCCTACAGTTCCTGGAGCAAACTTCAGGGTCTTTCTGGGAGGGGTCTCGGGAAGGACTGTGGCCTGCCCCCCACCCTAGATCAACAAGGCCCCAAGACTGCATATTGCTGCGTGGTGGCTGCTGAATTTGGACATATCCAAAGGAGGCCCAATGTTCCTAGGCTGGGGGCAGCATGGAGGGAGTGTCCACTGGGCCTGGAGACAGACCCCATGTGATTTTGGACTTGCATTTTTAGGGCTGGACCCATCTGAAGACCAGTGGCAGCTGGGAGGACTGCTAGCAGTTCTGTCTCTCTTCCTGCCAGCCCCATTTTCTTCCTGCAGGGAAGGATCATGGACAGGGAAAATGACGGAGGAGTGAAGCAGGGCCACAGACAGAAGTGACGAGTCCTCTGCCCTCTGCCTATTGCACCATATTCCATAAAAAATAAACACATTTGAATTGTTTGTGTATTGCTAATGCTATGGCATTCCAGGCACTGGCAGGCTGCAGAGAGAGCTGCACTGTCATGAATCCACCAGAATCCATCCAGAGACGGCCTTGAGGGTCAGGATCTTTGGAGCTTCCCTTTGGAAGGGTCAGCAGTGCCCATGTGCCTCGTGCTCTACACAGTGCTGTGAAAATGAAATTAAAGGGTAAAAACAAAAGAAACCCATGGGTAGAAAATCCCAGGGCTTTATGGAGTCGTTTGGCAATAATTTATAGTGTACAGCATCACAAAGGTGTGTCTGTGTGTCCTCCCCTTGCCAGCCCTGCCTTCTGTGCATCTGCACACAACTGGCCCCAGGTTCTTCTCCTATGTGCCTGGAGGAAGCTCATAGGTGGTTGTTCTTGGAGAGGTAGGCGATGAGGGCCACAGCCACGCCCACGTAGATACCAGTTCCAATCGTGATGGATAGCACAGCCAGGAACAGGGCCCGCCGGGAGCTAGTGCTGGCCTGGTGGAAGTCGCCCTTGGCCACGGCTTTGTTCGTCTGTTGGAGAGAAAAGAGAGAGGAAAAAATGAAGTCAAGATGAGCAAGTCAGAGCAAATGAAGTGACTGTAGTGTTCACCTCTGGTGCCTTTCCAACTTTGAACTTAGCTGACAACAGACAGGGAGGACTTGCCAAGGGGTAACTGGGTGTACTCCCAGGTGTGATGCAGCTGTTCTATAACTGGCAGAGAAGAAATAGGGAGGTATTGCTCCCCCAGACTGCAAGGCAGTTAAAGCTTAAAAAAAGAAAAGTGTCCCCAGGAATACCCATGGCTGGCAGTACTCCACCACCAATGTGGGGTCCAGCGTCTTGGGAACCAGGATGTGAGGGATAGAGTAGGTATTACAGCCTCAGCACCCTGTTTTCTACCCATAGATGATAGTTTATTTTATTTGGAAAACATTGAATTTCCTTTCTTTAAATTTTTATTTATTTATTTTTTTGAGAGAGTGAGCAAGCCAGGGAGGTACAGAGAAAGGGAGAGAGAACTCCCAAGCAGGCTTCACCATTTCAGCATAGAGCCCGACGTGGGGCTTGAACTCATGAATTTTGAGATCATGATGTGAGCCAAAACCAGGAGTCAGACGCTTAATTGACTGAGTCCCCAGGCACCCCGAATAACACTAGAATATGTTCACACTTACCTGATTTAACTTTAAAACATAGTAGGGGTGTGAGGAAGGAAATTATAGTTCTCATTTCCCAGAGAGGATACTATGGCATAAGACTGTTAAAGCAATTTCAGGATACTTAACACTTTAGTCTTCAGCTGGTGGCCATGGAACCCAGCATTCCTGACCATTGACCTTCTTCACCATAGCTGCAGTTGGTAAAATTCAACCATCAATAAAATTATGATGTAAGACCAATACCCACATTTCTGGTCACTCAGTTGCCTAATGAGGTGTTGCTTTGATAAAATTCATGTTTCTTGGGATCACAAGATGGATAGGAATGTGGAGGCTTGGGATGTTGTATCTGGTTGGGTATTTTGCAGCAGACCCTATGTACTCATCCCCGACCCCTTCCTTTGCTGTCCCTCTCCACAAGTGAGACTAGAAATGTTACACAAGAGCATAGGGACTGTCATGAGTTTCAGCTGTAACCATCCTAAAAGGACTACTTGAGGAAAATGATGAATTTGGCTGATGGGGGTAGAAGGTACTAGGACCCCCTAACCCCTGGGAGGGTCAAGTGATGCTGACAAGGGTTAACCCCAAGGTGGCTGGGGATTCTTTGTGGTCGGGGAAAGGCAGAGCCCACTGTCCAGGTCAATATCCTAACTCACTCTCTGGCCCATCTCCAGAAAACCAGATCTTCCCTGGGTCCTATCTCCATGTGTCATCAGTGGTATTTCTGCATTGTGTAGGCCGGTATGGGTGTGGTATGTTGTTTACTCAAACTAAGGTATGCCAAAACCTTTGCAACAGACCACAAAGGGTTAGACTCAGAAGTAACTCATGAGATGAAGTTCCACCCTGCACAGTCCTGACCCTGACTGATGAAATGTGGAGCTCTGTGTCTGGTTGAGAAGGGACTCTGGTCTGCTTGGGATCTCTCTTTTTCCTATCTGTTGGATCCTGGAGGTCAGTTTTTGCCTTCCTCTCCTGATTTTCTTTCTTGGAAGGGAGCTTGGGAGCTCACTGCTGACAATTCTTGATGAAGCAGAGCTAAGGGAATGCTGAATGAGAAGCCTCCTAGGACAATGCTAATTAATTAATTAAGCCTCAATTAGCTGTGTTTCATTTTCTCTAGCAGCACTCCCAAACACCCCAGTATCTCATAACATGATTCCCTAGAAATGCCCATCCTTAGCCAGGCGGCCACATTCCATCAGAATGGGGCTTTGCTACTATCTCTCATTACCACTACCCTTAAGGCAATCTGCCCTGGGACTTGCTACAGGAGAGGACAGACAGGAAAGCAGGGCATACTGGGCACTCCCTCCCCCTGAAAACAGGCCCTGCCGGGAGTGCCTGTGTCCCAACTGACCCATCTCATCAAGGCTCACATGTTTCAGTAACTATGTTTAGTAGTTGCCTTCCTGGCTCAGCTTTAAGCTCCAGAGACAGGTCCATGCCTGCCTTGTCCACACCGTCTGCCTGAAGCCTGGGTGGATGGTAGGAACTCCCTGAACATTTCATGAATGACCGAGTGGGCTGTACAAGATCAGCTCCCTTCAAATGCTTCCAGGTGGTACTGGCACCAGGTGCACCCTCCTGGGTTCTCTGGTGGTCTGTGTAAGGAAGGTAGTGGCACTGGGCAGCCTTGACCTAAGCTCTGGCCCAACTCTGCAGACATCCCCTCTGGCAGGTTCTGAGCCCATGGTGCGAGTGCTCTAGTCCCCAGGAGCCCAGAAGTGTTGGCTGGGGAATCAAGCTCCATGGTTTACTCTCACAGTGCAAGCTGGGAACACCCTCTACGTTTTGTTTGGTTATAGGGCAACTGTTCCAACAGGAAGTGTGTTGTGTTGGAGATGCTATCTGCTGAGATGTATCAGAAAGAGCAAACAGATAGAGCCTCATTGGCAAGTAGGCTGCTTTTCAGCAATGCCACTCAGCATCTGCATTTTGCAGAAGCTCCTGTGAGGTAGCGATGCTGTTTACACTCCACAGACTGGGCATCCTGGTCTAACAAAGGTGGTCCCTGACACACATCCTTTGTTTCAGAAAATGGATCCTGTGGCTACAAATCAGCTTGTATCTCCTTTGAGGTGCAACCTTGAAGAAATATTTCCATACTGAAAACTTCTGGGCTAAGTCTCCAGGCTTTTCTTGCTATGCAGGAGTGCAGGGGTCTGGTCCTGGATCCAGGGGTCTGTGAAGCCCTGATGCTGAAAGCAGGACTGTGTGCATGTGCATTTTTATGAGCTGAGGGTCAGCCAGGCCTACTGGATTCCCCCAGCAGCCACGTTTCCAGCTGCTCTGACTGCTACATTGGGGTGGGTGGGGAAGGAAAGGAGATACCAAGGAACAGAGCCAACCTGGCATCTCCTGGTAGGGACAGGAGGACATTGCAGATGCTTGCTTCTTGGCTGGAATAAGCAGATGTTGTTTGTTTGCCCTAACTGGGGATCTAGACTTGTCTACACCCCAGTGTGCACATGCAGCCCATGGTTTGTAAGTGAGTGTGCTGCAGGCATGCTGAGAGGCCTTACTTGGAATGGCATGTGGGTCTCATCAGCACAGACTGCACCATGTCAGATGGCTCTGCAGCAGGACTTCTCAAACTTGGGGCACATTCCAATTGCCAGGAAGCTTTGAAAACTCCTGATGCCCAGGCCACACCCTGGGCCAGGGAAGTCAGAGGCTCTGGGTTGGGACCTGGCTTCTGTGCCTTTCATGCTTCCAGGTGATTCCAGTGTGCAGGAAAGGTCGAGACCAGGGTGGCCAACTGTCCCAGTTTGCTCAGTACTGAGGGGATTCCCAGGACTTGGGACACTCAGTGCTGCAATAGGGACAGTTCAGGCAAACTGGGATGAGACTCACTGCTTTGCAAGAAGGCAGCCCTGGTCTGGCATGGAGAGCATCCTGATGACCCACATTTTCCCAACAGAATCACCTTTCCATGTTGGCAATAGAAGGAATGAAACTGGGAGAGTTGGAGCTCAGGGGGTGAACTCAGCCTCCTGGGTGTCCCCACCTGAGGTCGTGGCAGCTGTGTGCCCTGATGGCCTGTCCATTCACCATGCAAGGCATTTCTTTGATTCCTGCATGTGGGCATTTGCAGAAAGGGAAGCCACTCACACCCTCAGCTCTCACACTTTTGTTTTTAGCTTGTGGGGTGTTATTTCTAAACCTCATTCCCTCTGGTTTATGGCCCTAAGGAGTATTGGCTGGCATTTTACCTCCTAATAGCCTCCTTTCTAATGGCAACATGGGATTGACCTCTGTTTTTGTGGGGCCAACATACCCTGCAGGTGGGAGCCCCATCCTTGATCCTAGTCTGTCCTCCTGGAAAATGCCTTCTGCTGTGGAAGGTGATGTGTGCCAAAGGAAATGGACAGCTTAAACTCCCTCTCGCACTTTGTTCTTAGGCATTCAAATAACTCACTTGAGTCGTCTTGTGCTTGTCGGGGGCCCCTTCCTCCTGACTTGCCTACACCTTTCCCACTTTCTCTAGCTGCCGGCTACAGACCTTACCACAGGTGGACCCACTCACATTGTCTCCAGTAGTGCCTGCTATAGTCCCCACGCCCTGCAGCACAGCATGCATGGCCTTCTTGACCCTGAACCCCAATACTGCCCAGCCTCATCTTCTCCCAAAGTGGGGTGACCTGCCACCAAGGCCCTCCCACTGTGGGGTCAAGGATACTGCCAGCCCCTGGGAGTGTGCGTGTGACTTTACTTAAAATCATGTACTCCACCTACTTTAAAAGGGGAAGAGGGAGTCTGAGAGTTGGTGTTCCCATCTGTGCAGTGGACCAATGGGCATGACGCTTGGTCAGTGGAAGCTCTGACACTGGCTCCTGCCTTTCACTCTCCAGACCCACGCTCTTCCCACATTTACCTGACTGTGGCTAGGAGGCTGCCCTGGTTCCTTCTCCCTAAGGGCCTCTCAGGGAGATTAGAAGAGGGGGACAGGGCTCACCACCTGTGAGGGCTGCAGAACTGATGACTCCTGCAGGTTCAAACCCTCCATCCTATTCTCTCCAGGCCTCCTCATTGTGGCTTCTCTGACATGCCCACTCCAGTCACATCCCTGTCCCTTGTGGTCCCCATGCCAGCCATCTTTGTAAATCAGCCCTCTGCAAATGATCTAATTGGGGTGAGTCATCTATTTCTTGACTGACCAGCTACAGCTAAGACAGCAATAAAATGTTTGCATCAGCTGTGACGTGGCTGTGGGCCTGGGGCAGGCTCCCTGAGGACCTGACCTGCAGGCTTTTTGTTGCCTCTGAGAGGCCAGCAGGCTTCCAGGCACCCATCCCGGGCAGCCTTCTCTCTCTTGATGGCTGTGTTTATCATCCATTGCTGAGGGACACATCATCCCCAGCTTT